CAGCGGCTGCTCGCTGGGATTCAGCTCCAGACTGTCGAGTCCCGGCAGACCTGCAGGATACGGTGAGATGCACTCACCTGTGAGCTGCCTCGCTGCTGCTTCCTCTCACCTGTCAGCCCAACCCTCTTCTTCTTCTGCCCATCAGACTCGGAGCCCACAGAGCTTCTCAGCATGGACGGAAACTCCTCTGAGCTGGAGGACGAGGAAGACAGAGGACCAGGGGGCGGGGAGTGCAGGAAAGCCGTACCCCAGACTCCCGACCAGGAGGCGTTCCTGAAGGAGCACTTTGTGACGCTCGCTGGCCTTTCTGCCTCAGGTAGCAACTGATTTCAGCATTTTTCCTCCCAGCGACAGGAAATCACAGCAGACTCACCTACACCTGAACATGTGACCTGTGTGTTGACAGGAAGTCCGAGCAGAGCGTCTCACAGCTCCAGTGAGAGTCTGAGCATCTCGTCCAGGTTCCTCACCCAGAGCACAGCCACGAGGTAGGATCACCGTCACACACAGATCAATAATTACACATAGATCAATAATTACACACACACACACATTCAAACCAAACTTTATTGAAAAACAGCTTCCTGAACGCAGACGTGCAGCTCAGCTGTGGGACAGGAGAACATTTGTAGCCACAGTGGGGCCTGAACACCGACTCTGTGGGGTCTCCAGCTGCTCTGATCCCCACGCACACGTGTGGTGCATCACTCAGACCTTTTCTTTTCTCGCTCTCTCAGCCGGACCGTGCTGCCCCTCCCATCTCGGACCTCGGGGGCTGGCGCGGGGGAGCCAAAGACTCGTCCGCTGGTCTCCGAGGTCCGACCTCTGATGGAAGAGAGCCAGAGGCAGGACGGGAAGGTGTCGTGGACCCAGGACCAAACCCAAACACAGAACCAGGCTCAGGCCACCTCGTTTCAGGACCAAGCCCAGCCTCCTCATGGTTCAAACCAGCTCCGCATCCTAGAGGAGGAGACCCCCTCCCAGCAGGTCCACCGGCCCTCCCCGCTCAAGAAGAAGGTCCAAACTGCAGCGGAGTGCAGGAGGAACCAGGGACCGACAGCCCGGGCTGCCGCCTCCCATCTGAACTCTGCTGGACTTCGAAAGGCTCAGTCGGTCCACAGCCTGCTGACTGACACAGGTAACACTCAGCTCACCACACAAACAGGCAAACAGACTGTGGACCCAAGCAGCTGCACACACCTGAGTACAAGCGCTCACCTGGACATAAAGAAGCTAAATTAAAGCTAGCAGGCTAACCACGCCCACGCTGGCTGTGACTGTAGAAATTAAATGTTAGTCTTTGATTTGAGCCAGTAAAACCAACACTGATATAAGTTAGCACTGTGGCTCTGTTAGCTTCATTTATGCCACATGTGTCAAAGTCAAGGCCACATCTGGCCCGGCGTGCCTTTATATCCGGAGATCATTTTATACAGAGTTATTATTATTGTCATGCATGGCCCGCCGATATGAGGCGCTAATAATATACAAACTACAGATCCCAGAATGCAGCGCTGCAGCCTCCTTGGCTAGGCTAACTGGGAACAATCCCGTCAATCAAGTCAAACTTTGTTATTGAAGCTCGCCGCTCACAGTGGTGGAGAGAAAGCAGAGCCTTTCAGCGCCGGTGGGAGACTGAACATATGTTTACAGACATGCTGGTGAAGCCGTGAGTCTTATTAGTGGAGCTGATGTGGCTGTAATGAAGGAATTTAATTTAAGACGACAC